AATGAACAAATCTGTCTTGGAAGAAGTACAGCCGGAATGCTCATTAGAAGCAAGGATGCTTCAACTCACGTACTTTGGACATGTTATCAGGAGCGACCAGTCCCTGGAGAATGATATTATGCTTGGTAAAGTAGAGGGTCAGAGAAAAAGAGGAAGACCCTCAATGAGATGGACTGACATAGTGGCTTCAACAATGGGTTCAAGCTAACAACAATTGTGAGGATGGCACAGGATCGAGTAGTGTTTCATTCTGTTGTGCAGAGTTGCTATGAGTTGGAACTGACTCGACAGCACCTAACAACAATAATGTGCTTCTGCCATTAACAAAGTCAATATAATGCTGTGCTTTAAGAAACATATTCAAAACAAAAGCACAAGACATCTATGCTTGTGATACTCTATATAGTTTTGGCTATTAAACTCCAAGTCAGAAGACAAAGAGACAAAGGTCAAATAAAGTGATTCACGGCATCAGTGGGAAAAAAAGAATCTATGAGAAAAGAGAATCTATTTCTATATAAAGAAAATCCCTGAAATTAAGTTTTCTCCATCTGATCTATAAAGTTGAGAACTTAAGAAGAGATATGATCAAATTTCATAAAACCAAGAAAACTATTTTGTTGTTAGCTGCCCTCAAGTTGGCCCCTGATGTATAGTAACCCCATGCACGATAAAGAAAACGCTGCTCGGTCCTGCGCCAGCCCTATAATTGGCTGTGGATTGGACCACTGTGATCCACAGGGTTTTCACTGGCTGTATTTTGGAAGTAGATTGTCAGGCCTTTCTTTCTAATCTGTCTTAGTCTGGAAGCTCCACTGAAACCTGTTCAGCATCATAGTGACACACAAGCCTCCACTGACAAATGGGTGGTGGCTGCACATGAAGTGCAATGGCCGGGAACTGAACTCAGGTCTCTCAAATGCAAGGCAAGAATTCTACCACTGAAACCACCACTGCCCTCAAGAAAACAATAGCTAAATTAAACAGATGTGGTCAATATATCTCAGAAAATGAGTACCAGAGACAATCTAGGAAAAAACAACAGTATTATTTCTCTAACAGAATATAAAAATAGATTCAAGAAAAGCAAAGTGACATAAATGTTTGAGAAACAATATGGGATAGTTCTAGTTCCAGATTTTCCACTAACCAGCTGTGGTCTTTGAGAAAGTAAGTTTATATCCCTGAGCCTCTGCTTTTTCATCTGTAATTCAAGGAGATGGAATAGATTCTATTTAAAGAACTTGTCATGAACTGAACTGTGTCCCCCAAAAGTATCTGTCAACTTGGCTAGGCCATGATTCCCAGTATTGAGTGGACTGTCCATTATTTTGTCACCTGATGTGATTTTCCTACGTGTTGTAAATCCTTCCTCTATGATGTTAATCAGGTGGGATGAACGGCAGTTACATTCATGAAGCAGGACTCAATCTACAAGATTAGGTTGTGTCTTAAATCAATCTCTTTTGAGATATAAGTGAGAAGTGAGCAGACAGACAGGGGGACCTCACACCACCAAGAAACAAGAGCTGGGAGTGAACACATCTTTAGACCCGGGGTCCCTGTGCTGAAAAGCTCCTAGACCAGGGAAAGATTGATGACAAGGACCTTCCCCCAGAGCTGACAGAGAGAGAAAGGCTTCCCCAGGAGCTGGCAACCTGAATTTGGACATCTAGCCTCCTAGACTGTGAGAGAATGATTTTCTTTTGGTTAAAGCCATCCACTTGTAGTTATTTCTGTTACAGTAGCACTAGATAATTAAGACAGAACTCTTCTCAATGTGCACTCTGAATATTCTCTTTCAAACTGTGCCGGGGGTCCCCAAAACGATGCCCAGATTTGGTGACTCGTTAAGAGGATTCCCAGGACTTAGCATATAGTTGTGCTCATGGCGAAGATTTATTACAGCATAAAGGATACAAATCAAAATCAGCAGAGGACAAAATCGGGAGGAAACCAAGCACAAGCTTCCAAAAGTCCTCTCTCAGTGGAGTCACACAGGAAGCACTTAGCTCCTCCAGCAATGAGTTATGAAGATGTCTGTGAAATGTTGTCTACCAGAGAAGCTCATTAGAGACTCAGCGCCCAAGATTTTACTGGGTGTTGGTCACAGAGGCACCTTTTGCCTAGCAAGTACCAGAACTCAAGACTCCCAAAAGAAAAGGTGTTTAGCATAAATCGCATTGTAATCAGTGCAGGCACAGTGAGCCATTCTTATTATTCAGGAAAAGTTTTATAATAGTGTAAGAAACTGTTTACCAGTCAAGTTCCCAGACACCAGCCTTGCAAGTAGGCCTTTCTAAGGACAGCCATCTCAGGCCTGCTATGTTAACTTTTTTCTGCACACAAACTTTTAAGGAGCCCTGGTGGCATAGTGGTTAAGAGCTCGGCTGCTAACCCAAAGGTCGAAGGCAGTTCGAAGCCACCAGCTGCTCCTTGGAAAGCCTATTGGGTAGTTCTACTCGGTCCTACAGGGTCACTATGAGTTGGGATCAACTCAACGGCAATGGGTTTGTTTGTTTGTTTTTTTTTTTTTTTTGACGGACCCATCAAGCAGCAGAATTCAGGCAGATAAATAGATAAAGAGAAATTAGAAGGGATGGAGAAAGCAGCAGTCATTAGGACACGTTCAGGTCACATTATCAACAAAGTATATGTAAGGACAAAACAAAATCATTCTTAGTCCTTCTCAAATAAGATTCTCCTTCAACTGGAAACTCTCTAAGAAACTCAGAAATGCACAGTATATCCTTCTTCTTTAGAATGACGATCTAAGCACATTGTCCCAAGAACAGATCCCTGCACCCCAAAGGTGGGAAGCAGGACAAGAATCTGTGGCTTTCAATCTTGATAGTTTCACCAAACTAGCTCTCTGACATTCTCCAGTTTAACTTCACCAATTAGGCCATAAGCACCTACCAAAAAGGGGCAAATGCTGCCTTCTCCAGCTGACCTATGTCTTGCAGTATCAAGTATGTCACTCAAAATCACACCATACTTAAACAATTATTTCTCTCTTCAATACTCTACAGACACTCCAGAAATGAGTTCTCCTCTTCTGTATGCTTTCTTTGTATACATCCTTCCTAAAACTACATTCTAGGCCACTGCTACTGGCTTTATCCACAAGTTTTATTCCCTTTCCCCAGGTCCTATATAACTTAAAGAATCTATCGAAGCTGCTCCCTTCCCGCGAGGAAACAAACATAGAACCTTCTTCTTCCAAAATAACCGAAGTAAAAATATCACCAAATTATCACTCAGTAACAGTTTTAGTGACTTTTCAAACTGTCACCACCTGTGATCTTTCTAGTCTATTGAAAAATTGCTGAAGAAACATGTTTAAGGAGAAGAGAGTGGCAAATAGCAGATCAAGGCAACGAGGGTTGGACTCCTGAAAGCCAGGATTGAAGAGGTACACTGAAGGCAGAGAAAAGAAAGCAGAACCACAGTTAAGCCCAGTTAACAGCAAGTATTTTCCAAATGTTTCTAGTTCTTGCAAGCAGAACCATCTAGGAATGTAGTTTTCAAGTTCTTTTTAAGTCGCAGAACATTTCATTTTCCCTCCCCCAAATCATATTTTACCTGGTACCCCAAAATTCAAAACACACAGGAGAAGGAGTTAGTCTGATTAAGAAAGGACTGGGAAACCTGAAGCCTTGGCTATCTGGCCTGTCCGACCCCTTCCCCCTTCTAACCCTTCCTACAGCAGCCCCTGAGACACCACAAAGGGATTCTATAGGACAGTTTGAGAATGTAATTACCTAGGAGACTCCTCAAAGCCAAAGTAGGACAGGATGAACAAAGAACCTCTGGAGTTAACACAGGTGCACAGCCAGAATGTTCTAGTTAGCCAGAATCCTAGCCAGGCACAGGTAAGATTTTTCTATTGCAATTTAAAAGTACTGAATCACTAAGCTGATACCAAAATCAAACCCATTGCCATGGAGTCGATTCCGACTCATAGCAACCGTATAAGACAGAGCAGAACTGGCCCACAGAGTTTCCAAGGAGTGCCTGGTGGATTCGAACTGCCGACCTTTTGGTTAGCAGCCGAGCTCTTAACTACTGTGCCACCAGGGCTCCTAGTCAGTATATATTAGTAAAATCAAGGTATGTATTCAAATAGCAAACATCTTTCACTTCCATACCTCTGTTAGATATACATTTCTTCAAAACATTTTCATATATTCCCATTCTTTTTATTTTTCTTTATTTTTTTTAAATATAATACATTATTTGTAGAAATTTTGGAAAAATTTTAAAAAGTGACAGCAACTTATTACTTCATTTATTTTCAACATCCTGCTATGAAGCAGACAGTATCATTGTTTTTAAAATTAGGAAACCAAAAAAAACAAAAGATAATACCCTAGGACAAACTATAACTATTCTGTATACGTACATAAACATAAAATTTGGATTGAAAATTAGTTTAATGAGAATCAGAGACTGGAAAAAAACCCTTAAGCTGGTTATTTCAGACCCACTGAAATGACGAGATCAGAACTGATTTTGAAGATTGGGTAGGACCTGGCTTGGAAAGTCAGAAAGAAAGAGGGAGGGCAAGCCAGGAAGACAGAAATGCACAAATAGCATCAGAAGAGCCTGAAAAGCAAAAGGTGACAATTCGGGAATAATAAGAGATAACACAGGAGTGGTAGTGATTGCTAGCTTTGACATTTAAAATCAAGGCAAGAGAAAAACTTTATTCAGGGAGGAAGCAGAAACCTGCTGGCAAAAATTATCTTGACCAAACACTTAAGTGAAACCATCATTTTTCAGGGCTATATGATCAAATCTTGTGATAAAGTGAGTTATCCTGGATAAAATTAGAAATGATGCATCCTAACTTCTTGAAAATTAGGAACAACAGAGTTAAATTTCCACTGAAAAAGTTAAATTCTTTACTGCAATGCAATATGACACGAATTCTAAAATGTTTAGGCTACAGCTCACAGTTTACTAATTTTGAACACTATTATGAATAAAATAATTTTTAAACCCTTGATGGAATCTGACTTATAATTTTAGGACCGCATGTTAACTATCAGTTTTAACTTGCCCTACCCCCTCACCCAAAATGCCAATAAGTAGTTAAATAATCTCATTTGCCTTGCACTTGAATTCATGTCTCCCACCTTCTAACAGCCAAAAAGGCAATGACTACAATTTGGATAAGGAGCCCTTGGTGGCGCAGTGATTAAGCATTCAGCTGCTAACTGAAAGGTCAGTGGTTCAAACTCACCAGCCGCTTCTTGGTAAAGATATGACAGTCTGTTCCCAAAATTACAGCCTTGGAAACTCTATAGGGCAGTTATACCCTGTCCTATAGGGTCACCATGAGTCGGAACTGACTCAGTGGCAATGGGTTAGAATTTGGATTATCAGCCTTCTAATCAAGAGTTGGACTGCTTTCACTCTGTGGGCCCCTTCTACTTCCAAAGTATTCTGAAATACTGAATTCTTAGTCTTCAGGGGCAGGATTTATATTTCAGTGTCAAGAATAAATCTTGATAAGCAAATAATCTGAAAAACACGATGACTTTCTATGTTAGTCTTACTGACCATTGTACATTACAAATTACACACAGCCTTACTTCTTCTTTACCTATTTCTCAGGCCTGTTCCATTGCCGCAACCCCCACCAACCAAAGTCTGTAAAGAAGGTAAAGCTGAACGGCTTAGCTGCTGCCGACTAGGGCCCCTCCTTCCACCGGGCATGTCCAGGAACCAGTCTGCTTCCAGTGCCACCTGTAGTTGCAACCCAGGTTAATGGCTGTCAACCTGTTTCAACTCTGAACGAAAACAAATAAATTAATGTCAGTTTGCTATTTTTAAGTAGACAATTAACAAAATAACCAGAAAAACAATGAGCTGACCTTATAAAACAAGGTTTTCAAACAAATGTTCTCAGTGTCTATTACATGCTTTATTCTAATGAAAGGACTACTCAGACTCTAGTGGATCAGAAGCCTTGGTTCTGATCTAAGCTCTGCTCAGCATCAGGCAAGTCACAATCTGTGTCTTTTGTCAGTTGACTTGTATCACATAAAAGGTACTATTACAATCAGATGAAAGTGTGGAAGAAACACCACAACGTATATATTTTCGACTCAAGTGTAATATTTCAAACTAAGCCACTTTAAATACAGAAAAATCAGCAGAAAGTTAGGCTTCATGATCAAGGGACTGAGGTTCTGAGATCAGATGTGCCACATATTATCTGACCTTAACTAAGTGGCTTAACCTCTGAGTTTGTTTCTTCATCAGAGAAAAAAAAAAAAATAGACGTGTCCCTGTCCTACAGAGGTTGTTGTAAGGATTGACAAAGATGAATGAAAATACACCACTACCACTAGGCCCTTTAACTCTTTAAAAGTGAAACTGTTCAAGCGGTATCTCCATATGTTAGGGTGGAAATACTGAAAGAACGCAAATTGTTGCCTAACCCAGAAAAACTGAAGTAAAATCATTTAGAAATTAATGAAACTGCAAGACTAAAAACGCAAACGACAAATAAAGACCCTTATTAAAAAGAAACTGTGTTTTCTCAGAACATGGCAAAATCACGGTTCTGCCAATATGAATACCAGATCCGTTTTCTTAAACAACACAACCACACTGAAAAATGACACCCTGGGAAAATCCTTGGTTTTTCAAAACTCTACTGCAGACTGTTCCGATGTTCCCTATTCGTAACAACCTTTGGCAGTAGATTAAAAACGCAAGCGAGACAAAGCATTCAAACCGCTAGATGAAGGTGCTGCTCGTTCTTGCTCAACTAAGGAGCAAAGAGAAAGAGAAGAGAGGGGCAAAAAACTGGGATGGAAGAGGTGAGTACGGGGTGGGTGGATGTGGATGGCGAGAGACCACAAACTTCGACAGACTGCCCCCTAAGAGGGGACGACAAAGCGGGCCCCCGGCTGCGCACCCCAGGGGCTCCAAAACGGTCCAGGACAGTAGAACAGTACGCAGTTCGGTAATACTCACGCATGGAGGAGGCCCAGCCGGTGGGGCGGGATCCCTGAGAGGAGGCGGCGGCTTTACAGGCTGGACCCTGGGCAAGAAAACTCCCTCCCCGCGTTGAGGCGCTCCAAACCAGATGCTTCTCCGCAGGCTGTCTCCACCTCGTGGAGTCGAAAAAGGGTGTCCAGGCTTCCGGCTGCCAGACTCAGACCCAAACTCTGAGCCAGTGCGAGAGCCAGAGCCAGACCTAAAGCCAAAGCCAGAGCCAGGTCCAGTCAGCACTCATCCCCAGCCTCCATTACCGCGGAGCTGAGGAGACGTGGCAGCGCACGGTGATGACGTCAGCTCCGCGACGGCTGGCCGCCCAGCCGCAAGCTGACCCCCCGGAACTGCACACGCAGTCCGGAGAGCAGGCACCCTACCGCCTCTCGCTTGCACCTGCGCAGTGGGAGTCGACTGCACCGCGGGGCTCGCGCTTGGTTTGCTTGTTAGCGGTGGGCAACGTTTTGCCTTCCCAGGCGTCTGTCACCGAGTGCCTACCAGTGCAGGCACATGGTAGGCGTCCTTGTTATCTCAGGAACTCCATATAATTACCATGCACAAGTAATTACCCCTATTTTACAGTCGAGAGGACGTTGAGAGACTTGACCTATGATCACATCACTGCTGAGTAAAGGAGCTCAAATATCGAAGTCATGCTTCACCATCCAAACAAGCGCTTACCGTATGTTAAGTGAAGGACTAGATGCACAAAAGTGCATACCACAAAGAGCTTACAGTCTAGTGGAAGAGACAAGACCCTAGGAAAGCACATGCAACATTAACTGTGCTCAAGGCACAATTGGAAGAGCGTAGTCAATGTCACTGAACTGTGCATGTAGAAATTTTTGAAATGGTGTATCTTTGGCTATGTGTATTTTCACCAAAAAAAAAGGTTGAGAAGTTAGAGGGTTGACATGTTGTGGGGTTGTTAACCAATGTCATAAAACAATATGTGTACTACTGTTTCATGGGAAACTATTCTGTAAGCCTTCACCTGAAGTACAATTAAAAAAATATATATATGCTCAAGGTCCAGAGATACAGCACAGAAGATAGTTGATGAACTCTGCGATCGCAGTGGTGTCAGTACAAAGAAGAGCCTTACAGGGAGTTAGGCGTTAAAAGAGCCAAGGCTCCAAGAATCAACAGGTAGTTGCCTGATGGACACAAAAGGGGGCGGGGGTAGCTTTCTGGCAGAGGAAGTGGCAGTTAAAAAGCTAAGGAGGTGGGCAAAGTCATGGTGAATTCAGGAACTGCCAATAGTTGGTATTAGAAGAAGGGAGAGAGTTAGGAGGTGAGAGGAGATACGTGAGATATATCATTTCATAGATTTTAAGCACCTTAACAGAAAGCCCTGTGTATTGATTATATATGGTTCTTAGGTTGTTAGTTGAGTGAGGTCAGACTCATGACCATAGCAGAACAAAACGTTGCATAGTCTCGCACCATCTTCACAATGGTATGTTTGAGTCATAGTTGCACCTATTGTGTATTGCCTCCCAACCTAGACTGCTCATCTTCCAGCCCTATACTGGACGATATCCTGTCATGATCTATAAAGTTTTCATTGACTGATTTTCGGAAGTAGATCACCAGGCTTTTCTTCTAGTCTGTGTTAGTCTGAAAGCTCCACTGAACCCTGTCCACCATGGGTGACCCTGCTGGTATTTGAAATACCAGTAGCATAGCCTGCTACTAGCAGCATAGCAATACACAAGCCACCACATACAATAAACTGACAGATAGGTGATTAACCTTTATTAAGAGGTTTTTTTGTATGTGTATACCAGACACTGGGCTAGGAGCTTTACCTATCTCATTTAAATCTCACAATAGTTTGATAGATACTATCATTGTTCCTATTTTACAGAGGAAACTGAATTTAGAGAAATAAGTTCAAAATAACTCAGCGAATAAGTGGCAGAGCTGGAATGTAGAGCCAGAATGGCCCATATCAAAACCACTAAAGTTAGTAATATTCCCAAATATTCCGTGTGTCCTAATGTACTACAGAGCTTTTATTCATAAATATACAAAATCTAATATAGGTCTATACATATTTTTATTGATTTCACCTCTTGGGGTAAGGAATTTCGTACCTGTAATTTTATATTTGCTCTGTTAACTGCTTCCTAGCTTGAAACTCCTTTTCCCTTTTTCTGTTGACTCGCTAGCACTCTTCCTTTATTTGGCAATTATTTATTTAGTGCCTACTGAGGTCCCTAGGTGGTGCAAACAGTTAATGCTCTCAGCTGCTAACCAGAAGGTTGGAGGTTGAGGCCACCCAGAGGCACCTCAGAAGAAAGCCCTGCTGATCTACTTGTGAAAAATCAGCAATTGAAAACCCTATGGAACACAGTTCTACTGTGACACACGTGGGATCTCCATGAGTTAGAATCGACTTATTGTCAACTGGTTTGGCTCAGTGTGTCAGGCACTGTGCTAGCAAACAAGACAGATATGTCCCTGCCCTCCTGGAACTTATATTCTAGTGGGGAAATGTTTATTTAATAAATAAAATAATTACAAATTATGATAAGCATTATGAAGAGACAAATAAGGGACTAAGGTAGAAAATAAGGAAGGTGTGATTTTGAGGGGATATCTGTCTAAGGCAGTGACATTTCAGCAGAAACCTAAGATTGAGAAGGAACCCACAATGCAAAAATGGGAAAGAGAAGCAGTCCAGATAGAAAACGAAACATGCAGAAACCCTAAATTGGATTGGAGCTTAGCACGTCTGAGGTACTTAAAGTAAAACAATGTAGCTGGATCATGGTAAGCAAAGGGGAACATGTCATGAAGTGAATTTGAACACACTGGAAGGAGCCTGAACAAGGAAAAGGTCTTTTAAACCAGAGAGTTTGCTTTTTAGGTGTGGGGGAAACCAATGAGGAGTTTTAAGCAAGGATGTGACACAGTTTAGGACTTAAAATAATTCTTGTTGCTTTGTGGTGTATTGATGTGTTTGGGGTGGGAGAAAGTATTATTTATTTTTATTTAATGAAGACATGTGAAGACCTATGTGAGGAGCCCTGGTGGCGTAGTGGTTAAGAGCTATGGCTGCTAACCAAATGGTTGACATTTTGAATCCACCAGCCACTCCTTGGAAACCCTATGGGGCAGTTCTACTCTGTCTTATAGGGTCACTATGAGTAGGAATTGAACAATATGATTAATATCACACCCAAGTAAAATCTTGCTGAAGATCATTCAAAAGCAGTTGCAGCAGAACATCAACAGGGAACTACAAGAAATTCAAGCTGGATTTAGAAGACGTGGAATGAGGGATATCATTGCTGATGTCAGATGGATCTTGGCTGAAAGCACAGAATACGAGAAAGATGTTTACCTGTGTTTTATTGACTATGCAAAGGCACTTGACTGTGTGGATCATAACAAATTATGAATAACAATGCAAAGAATGAGAATCCAGAAAACTTAACTGTACACATGAGGAACCTGTACATACACCAAGAGGCAGTCGTTCAAGCAAGGGGATACTGCATGCTTTAAATTCAGGAAAGGTATATGTCAGGATTGTATCCTTTCACCATACTTATTCAGTCTGTATGCTGAACAAATAATCTGAGAAGCTGGACTATATGAAGAAGAACGGGACATCAGGACTGGAGGAAGACTCATTAACAACCTGCAATACGCAGATGACATAACCCCTCCTGCTGAAAGTGAAGAGGACTTGAAGCACTTACTGATGAAGATCAAAGACTACAGCCTTCAGTATGGATTACACGTCAACATAAAGAAAACAGAAGTTCTCACAAATGGACCAATAAGCAACATCATGGTAAATGGAGAAAAGATTGAAGTTGTCAAGGATTTCATTTTACTTGGATCCATGATCAACGCCCATGGAAGCAGAAGTCAAGAAATCAAACGATGCATTGCATTGGGCAAATCTGCTGTAAAAGACCTCTTTAAAGTGTTAAAAAGCAAAGACATCACTTTAAGGACTAAGCGCCAGACATAAGGCATGGTGTTTTCAATTGCCTCATATGCATGCAAAAGCTGGACAATGAAAAAGGAAGACCGAAGAACAATTGACACCTTTGAATTATGGTGTTGACGAAGAATACTGAATATACCATGGACTTCCAAAAGAATGAACAAATCTGCCTTGGAAGAAGAACAACCAGAATGGTCCTTAGAAGGGAGGATGGTGAGACTCCATCTTACATCCTTTGAACATGTTATCAGAAGGGACTAGTCCCTGGAGAAAGGCATCGTGATTGGTAAAGTAGAGGTTCAGCGAAAAAGAGGAAGACCCTCAATGAGATGGATTGACACAGTGGCTGCAACAATGGGCTCAAGCATAACAATGATCATGAAGATGGCGCAGGACCAGATAGTGTTTTGTTCTATTGTACATAGGGTCTCTGAGTTGAAACTGACTCGACAACACCTAACAACAACAATGTATAATGGTAAGGAGCCCTGGTGGTACAGTGGTTAAAGTGCTTGACTGCTAACCGAAAGACTGGCAGTTGTAACCCACCAGCCGTGCTACACAGGAGAAAGATGTGGTGGTCTGCTTCTGCAAAGGTTTACAGCCTTGGAAACCCTATGGGGCAGTTCTACTCTGTCGTATAAGGTTGCTATGAGTCGGAGTCAACTCAATGGCAACAAGATTGGTTTTATATAATAGTAACTATGTGTCTGGTGAAATTCTAAGTGCTTTACAAATATTAAGTCATTTAATCCTCATAACGACCCCACAAAAGCATTATTATCATTCTCATTTTTCAGATGAGGAAACTGAGACACAGAGAGTTTAAATAGTTGTCCAAAGTCACTCAGCTAGTAAGTGTTGGAGCCAAGATTTGAATACATGGAAGTGAGGACATTAAGGGGGGCACATAAGGTGGTAGCAGTGGGGATGGAGGGAAGTGGACAAATTCACGATTTCTTTTGCTTATGGAAGAAGTAGGAAAAAGAACAATTTGAGCAACTGGGAGAATGGTGGTGCCATTTATTGAGGTGGGGAAGTTTGTGGTGGGGAATAGGATTGGGAGATATACTTATTTCACATGTCTTAAATGTTATTTGTAACACTAGAAATGTTACTCTGTTCTAAGTGATTTTAGTTTAATGAACTCATTTTATCACCAGTCTGGAGAGGATTTCATTGTTTATTCTTTTAAAGAGAAGAGGCAGTTCTTCCCCAACCTTCACTATATATTTTTTTAACTAATTTTGTATCCATGAAACACCTCTCTACCTGTGTCCGGATAAATTCGTAGAAATTATTTGAAACGTAG